CCAACACAGCTATATTCCTATTTCATAGCTTTTGATTAATTAGATGGTAATTATATTGTTAGGAGTATCTGTGTATATTCTCTGCTGTGTTCAATAGTGTGCTATTGTATATCTCCTTTTTTATGATGTTTTTCCCTGGACTGAGAGATTTCCATGTCCTTTTATTTGCTCAGTTTTCCTTCTGCCTATCACTTTTTTTCCCCCATGTGTTTCATCAGCTATCTCAAATGCTTTTTATCACCATTTCCTAGATGTTCAGTATTTCTGCCTATTTCCTCGCTCTTTGGAGAGCCCTGGCTCCCTGCATCCTCTGTCATCCTGCTCCAGTCTGGACGGTTGCTCTCCAGTCCTGCTGGGAAGCTGGGCTCCTAAGACTCCTCTTACCGTTTCCTCTATTGTAGCCCTCTTTCTCCCAGATCTATGTCTTCCTTTTTCCTTAATTCCTTATTTTGCTCACAAACGTTTTCCAGTAGTTTTCTAAGAAAGGGAGGTAAAATTTCTTCAGTCCTTGTAGCTCTTAAAATGCCTTAATTCTACTCCTTCATATGATAGTCATTTGGCTGGGTATAGAATTCTGGACTGGAGAACATTTTCCCTCAGATTTCTGAAGCCCTTGCTCCATTTTCTTCTGAATTCCAGTGTTACTGTTAAAAAGTCTGATGCCGGGGCCAGCCCGGTGGCCCGGCAGTTAAGTGCGCATGTTCCACTTCGGCGGCCCGGGGTTGACCACTTTGGATCCCAGGTGCAGACATGGCACTGCTTGGCAAGCCATGCTGTGGCAGGTGTCCCACATATAAAGTAGAGGAAGATGGGCACGGATGTTACCTCAGGGCCAGGCTTCCTCAGCAAAAAGAGGAGGATTGGCAGCAGATGTTAGCTCAGGGATAATCTTCCTCAAAAGAACAAAACAAAAAAATCCGACGCCGTTTTAATTCCAGGTCCTTTGAAAGGACCAGGTTTGCCCAGCCTCCATCCCAGAAGTTTTCAGAATCTCTTCTTTGTCTCTCCTGTTCTGAAATTCCTGGATGCTGTGGGTCCTTCTCATTTATTTTGCTGGGCATTTTGCAAGCTCTTTTGGTTTGGAAATTCATATCTGTCAGTTCTAGGAAATTTTATTATATTATTTTTCTAAATCTCCTTGTTTAATTTTCTGGGAAATTTTCTTTTTCCAACTTGTTTCTATCCTTAAATTTATTTGTTTATTCTTAACTCTATTCTTTTGAATTTCCAAAAGTTCTTTTTTGCAGCAACTTGTTCTTGTTCCAGGACACAGTACCTTCTTTGATCTCTCTTAATATATTGACTATGTTTTTTTCTTGCTGTCTTTGCTGTTAACTCTAACTCATTTATTTTTTTTAGTTTTTGGCCTTCTTTTTCATGTTGAAGGCTCTCCACATATATGTGTGGCCTTACTTCTTGTTTAAGAGTGAGGCACTAGAATACTGATTGAATCAATGGGGACCCAGCCAATTTGTGGGGGCCTGAGGGTGGGTAAAATGTTAATGACTCTAAGCCTTGCTTAGGGGGATATAAGCCTGGTTGGCAGCATCTGGGAGCTGGGCAGGGGAAGGGAGGCTAGAGAGTCTCATCAGAGAGCATACAAGTTTTCATTTTCCACGTTCAACCCCTCACCCCTGTCTCATCTAGACATTAGCATTTTTCAGGAATGTATAAGATGGTATTTGTGGCATGTGCAGCACAATACATCTGTTAGTAACTGTAAGTCTATGCTCTCCAGCCTATCCATGGCAGTGATTAGAGCTGCCAGGGGATCTAGCTCCCTAAGCATTATTCTGTAGTGTCTTGGCCTTGAAAGTGGCCAAGTGTGGCCAGTTGTTCCTGTCCCCAGATGCTGTCTCTTTCTTGACCTTGCTGTCCTGTACCCAGTCCAGGCATGTATCTCTCCTTCTCCTAGGAGCTTATGAGCATCAGCAGAGCATGGACAGTGTCTTAAAGGTGTACAGTGATAGAGAACAGAGTCTCTGAAGAGGTCTGGAGTCCACTCGCGCTCTCCTATTTATTAGCACTGTGACCTGGTACAAGTTACTTAACATCTCCAAACTTTAGTGTCACTAACTGTTAGCCCAGCCCAATGGAACCTCAAGCTTGTGCAGTTCAGTCACTCCCTCCACCACAAGTGTAGGTGTAAAATGCTTCTGTATCACTACTCTATTAGATGTCTAGAGCCACCCTCCCCTTTCCTCAAGATTATAGGTGTCCTGGTGCATTATGAGGATGTGGGGAGTCACACAGGAACTAGGAGGGGTTTGCAGCTTGTAGAGAACTCACTCCCTCTGGGCAGTCAGTGGACAATGCAGCAAAGCTGGAAGCATGCCAGGATGCTGTTAGAGTGCTAGGTGGTCCTCCTTGTTGGAATGAAGGAGGGACCTGACCCACCATTCCAGCTCCTTCTCACAGAGGTCCTTCACCACTCCCGTTCACCCAGCTGTTTCCAAATAGCAGGAAAATTTTATTTTTACCCTGCCTTGTTATTGCATTCCTTTGATTCTAATGTGCCATGAGTAGAAGTGGGAGCTTCTAAACAAATTTTTTAAAAAAGCATTGATGAACGTGTTCTGAAAGCCTCTGAGTTCTTCAGACTTCCACTTCAGGGCCTGAACCTCAAATGTCACTTCTCCCATGACACTCTGAACTTGGTTGGGCACCCTCTTTTACACTCCCATAGCATCCTGTACATGTCTTTCAGAGCACTCACAATGGTCACAGGCGGTATAATATCTATGTACCTTAAGAGATTTTAAGCCTTGAGAACACGTGGGCTGTACCAGTTGTATCCTTCACTGTGTCCCCAAGCACAGATGATGCTCAATCACTATCTGTTGAATGAAGAGAGGCATGGAAAGGGGAAGAAAGTGAAAAGTAGAGGCAATGCGAGGAACCATTAACAGCAGAAAAGAAGATGAAGCCTCTTGCAAATACCCTTCCAGTGGGTAAGAAAAGTTAAAAAGTTGCTTTAACAAAGAAGAAAATCAGGTTCACCTGCACCAATGCCTTGTTCCGGAATACTAATAATGACAGCAGCTACATCAGTTCATGGAAACCAGCTCCAAAACTAGGAGGAGCAAGGATTCTGCCCAACGCTGGAAAAGCACATTGCTTTACTCTCTTCTCCACTGAATGCAAAGAATCCAGTCGGTTCCTAAACACTTGAAACAAAGGAAGAGATAAAGGTAAGAAATGCAACTTTGGAAGCAGATACAGTTTATAAAAAATTGCTGGGACCGTTTAGTCCCCAACCGAGATTACTCTTAAGGCACAGAGCTCTAGTGTGAATGATCTTTAGCTGTAATTGTAATACTCTGTTGATAAAAATAGTTAAGCATTGTGAAAAATTAATCTGCCTGTGGCTGTGCTGCATTTAAGATCGTTAGAGTTACCTAGAGAGCCTTAGGCAGGGAATCGGCAGGTCTTTGCTGTTGCCTGCGCTAAGCAGCAACAATTCAAGGAGGATTTCAGTGTTTGTTACGGGAGCAACTGCTGAAAGAGAGAGGTGAAATAGTGAGATAGCTCCAAGGGGACTCTGTGGATTGGAGAACATTTTGTGGGGAGGGGACAGTAAACTGCTGACTTTGGCTGGCAGAAGGGTCATCATTAATCCTTTCTGGAACCCCATAAGGAGAATGATCTTCCATTCTAGGGAAATATTATAATACCAGAGCTAACAATCATTGGGCTGTCACTATGTGCCGAATGCTGTGCTAGATCTAACTCTATCATCACAGCTTTTATGGCTGAGCAGAGGGAAGTTAAGCACTGGATTCTAATCCTGAGCCCACCATGACTCTATGCTGCCTCTTGACTTTTTCAGTAGATGAAGGAACAGAAAAAGGGAGGAGTAATTTTCCAAGCAGGGCCGACGCAAACCTAAGAGACACGGAAAACAAGGAACACAAAGACTGTAGCTAGGACTTCCAGGACAAGGAGAAAGGAAAGGAGTCCCAGAGTCAGGCTGGGTTACCAATGCAGGGTAGGACTTTGCAGGAGTCACTGGGGCATTTTCCCAAAGACCCACAAGAAAACGTTTTGTCTATGGGATGGCAGCATGGATCCACAGCATCCTAAGTGCTAGATGGCCCTCAGTGGCCTGCTTCCCTGGGCAAGGACCCTAATTACAGTGCAGAGATGGCAGAGACTTAGCAGTATGCAAAGGGAATCTTTGCTCTGGCTGTACCCGGTGAGAATAGGAGGTCTTGACTCTATCATCAGGACTTGGTCCTGGAAATGGAAACTACTCTAGGTCTTCCAAGTAGTAAGGACTTGAATACAGGGAATCAGAAGTTTTACAATTGCTGAAAGGTGGGGAGAAGTGGATTGGGAAGTATCGATGGAGGTGGTCCTCAAGAACCCACTTGGGAGCTGCTTTAAACTTCACATCTGCTGCAGCTGCCTCCAGAACAACATGGCCTCTGTCTCTTTGCTGACTTCTAAATCTAGCACGAGCTCTTTCATTGGGAAAACTCTAATCTAGAACCACATATAGGGGAGATCCTCAGAAATGCAGTCCTAGCTTTTCTTCTTCAATGAAGGACAGGCTTCCTACGGAGGACGTGTGGATGTCCAGTTGAATATCACCCATCAATGCCATGGAACTTCCTATGACCTCAAGTTACAATGGCATTCAAGTTACAGTGGCCCCACCCCTACTCCTACTTTCCCCTGGTTGTCTTATTGAGGGGATAGAATAGGAAACTTTTTACCTGGGAAAGGTTAGGTATGATGTGAGCCTGTGGTCCATTGCAGGTGACCTCCTGAGAGCTTGTCAGGTTGAGTGGTTCTGCCACTCTATCAGCTCACACCCTGCCTCAGTAAAAACCGCAGGATTCTTGATAATTGTCAATGGGAAGAAATGAAAATACTCCAGAAAGGTTAGCAACCAGGCCCTTCAAGGGAATGTATGTTTACCTTTTTCATTATCCACAATGTGGGTACTAACAGCAGTCAAGGGCCTACCTGTATTCAACTGGAGTGGGGAAAGGTACCCTGTTTCCTGCAAAGATTCTACCATGAGCACCAGCATGGTCGTGCTGACCTGGCACCACTGAACAATGGCCATGGTTGCCTGGGGCACCACATCAGGTGGATGGTGAGGCCACCTAGGAGGAGGAAGCAGGATTCATTAGCGATTCTTGACATGAAGTCAAGAAGGGCAGCATGCATGCCACATGCTCCATGCCAGTGCCGTCATCAGCTATTGTGTTTGCCTGTCTGCATGGAGGTGCTTATGTGATGGATCTCTGTACATGAAGATAGTTGCCAATCTCCTTTTGGAAGGAGCCGCTACCATAGACTATAGTTGCATTTGTCAGGATGCCATCCATTGCAAGCAGCAAAAACCAACCTTAAAGTGGCTTAAGCATAATCAGTAAATTAAAGGAAGTTAATTATTTGATTGTTTAGGATGGGTGGAAATTTATTGTCTCATAACTAAAAAGTCCAAGCTATATCTGGCTTCAAGTCCAGTGGGCTCCAGAGCTCTGTTGGCTCCAGGGCTAGTAGAAATCACCAGGGTTCTTGATCTCTTGTTTTGCTTGTCGTTTGTGTCAGCCCTGTTGCCAAGCAGACCCTCTTTATGCAGTGTCCCCAGCACTCCTCTGACCAGCTTGGCAAACTCAGTGGAAAGAAGCCTCCCCTTTCCTGGAAGTTTCCATTCAAGTTGTGGGGCTGGCTCTCATTGGCAGAGCTTGGATTGGTGCCCAACACTATGGCAGAGGAGGACAGGATGCATTCCTCTGCCTGCCGGGTGGGGGGGGGGGGGGCAAACCCTACACAAACCACATAGACAAAATTGGAGGCAGGACAGCTCCCCAAAGGAAATGATATGGGTGTGGGTAAGGGAGGTGGGGTTCTGATACCCAAAAAAGGGGGCATGCATGCCCAGCTGGCAAAATAAACAGCTGTCTGTTATTCCAGCACAGCTGGAGTTAGAATCAGTCTGAACTGTCTCTGAATCATTTCAAGCAAGTAGCTAGCCTCCTTGGACCTCTAGTTACTCATTTGTGTAATAAGTAGGTTGGGTTCAATGGTCCACTCCTCCATTCCAGCTCTAAACCTGTGCAGATCTACCCATTTATGCCACCACCAAGTGGACTGCACTGGGATCAGGGTCCATCAGCAACATTCTCAACAAGTGGATTGGTTCCTTATTTCGGGCCTAAATGTGTTGTAAAGCAGCAAAAAGCAGCCTGAAAAGAATCTCTCAACTTTGTTGGTCAGGGTCTCAGAAAAATTCAGAACTGGTTTTGGAGAGACGCACTCCACAGAAGTGACCATGGTCTCTGCCACAGAGAGATACGTCCTGTTGGATCCTGTTTGGAAGATTTCTTTTTCCTGCAGTGCTCTTGGAAACAGGGCCCCCACCAAACTCATCTGGTGTTCTGTGCTCTGGGCAGAAGTAATTATTTTTATGAGGCATTATTCATGTCTAGTCTACCTAAGGGCCACCCCAAATAATGTTTCTCTAGCTATTAAAGGCTTTATCAGGCACGCAGCGTCTCCAGTAGTTTCCTTTAGGGGAAAAGAAAAAGATTCCTCTTGAAGTTTACCACCTCCAGTGGCAATTTGCTGCCCATTTCAGGGCCATCTTAAGCGGTTGGCACCTGAAAAAAGGGCAGTCTTTTCCTTTTAAGTGCAGCCGGAAAATGGGCGTCTGAGTGAAAGTAGGGAACCGGGAGAGGTATTTCCATGCGGCCAAGGTAGCTTTCTTGTTTTGTTGTGAGCTGGCAAACTTCAACATGCTCAAGCAATGTTTTGTCAAATTTCTTAAATGCTGAATATGGCACCGGCCCAAATGAATGTAGATGTTATTTTAGTTCTAGGAGAGATTTATTTTAATGTACAGATGCAGCCACTACAAAGGCCCCTTTTAATCTACTGGGGGCTCTGTTCCTTGCTCTCTTACTCTCTGCAAACACCCCCCTCATTCTAGGGAATTGGAGTATGCTGTGAAATTGCAGAGTATTCCCTCCTGCCCTCATCTCCCAAGGCAGTGACATAAGTGCTGACGATAATTATAATTAAGATGCTTTGTGCAAGAAAAAGCAGTTTGCAAGGCTCCATTCCCTTTCACAGCCTGTCTGGAATTCAAAGGACAATGCTGCTTGATAAAAGAAAATACACCAACAGCAGAGCTGACTTGCCCGACTCCAGGCTCTAGCAGAACAGCCCCAAGAGAAGTCGTCCCTTATCTAGGACCTCAATTCTCGGAGCACAAAAGGAGCTGTTCCTTTACTGCTCGCCTCTGAGATGGGAAATCCATCAGTGAAGCTAAGCCTCAGATACCAATATCTTGCACCTTGATCCAGGCCAAAATAAACGGGAAGGAAAACACAGAGGAAGCCATGGCGACATGTGAGGTTTGGCCCAGCCAAATCTATGCTTTCAAGGCAAGACCAGGGGAGGGGAGCCACAGATAAAATCAGGGGGTGGGCAGGGGGAGAAAAGGAAGGATAATCACCAGACTCAGTGACAGAGGAGAAACTGAAGCCAGGACAGTTCTCAGTCCTATCCCACCCAAGGCCCCTTTTTATAATAATTTGTAATTTGGAATTGTAATTTGGAATACCCTTTACTATCCCCAAATGAAATACATAGAAAATATAACCGGTTTCCCTACATGCCGCCAAAAAAAAAAAAAAAAATCTGTGGAATGTTCCAACTATAATATCAAGAAATAAAAGGAGAGTAGTTTATAATAGTATATATTTTAGTGTGTAAATGTTTGGGTCCAACTACAAGAGGAGACAGAATGAAGTAACCAGAAGCTTGCGCGGAATCTCTGTGAACGCAGTGGCTGCTGCCTGGACATCTCAACCACAAAGCAGGCCTCCTTCGTGATGGGAGTCTCTGAAACAGTCAAGTTACGGGTAAAACAGTGCATTCATCTCTCTCTTTCACTGGACTGTAGTTACATTTCTAGAAATTCCATGTGCAAGAAATACTTTGTATTTAGATATAAAACAGAGTTCAGTTCAAGGCCCAGATATGGATCATGCCTTCCGGGCACCTGAATACCAGGCAGAACGCTTGAGGCACTGAGGGGCATGTGACCATTCTTTGTTGGGGGCTGTCCCGTGAACTGTAGGCCTTCCAGTGTCTGTGAGAAACTGTGAACTTCCAAAACAGCCCCCTAGGGGGTGATGCAGCCCCATTGAGAGCTGCAGGGGAGATGGGCAGCAGGCTTCTGAGTCAGATGTGTGGGCTCAAATCCCAGTTCCATCAAGTCCTAGCAATTGTGTGGTCCTGGTTAAGTCACTTAACTGCCTGTATTTTTTTTTTTTTTTTGAACGTTGGCCCTGAGCTCACATCTGTTGCCAATCTTCCTCTTTTTGCTTGAGGAAGATTATCCCTGAGCTAACGTCTGTGCCAATCTTCCCCTATTTTATGTGGGATGCCACCACAGCATGGCTTGACGAGTGGTGCTAGGTCTGCGCCCAGGATCCAAACCCACAAACCCCCGGCAGCTGAAGCAGAGCGTGTGAACTTAACCACCATGCCAGGCTGGCCCCTTAACTGCCTGCATTTTATCTTTAAAATGGACAGAGCCCTTATGAGATTGCTGAAAGGTTAAGGGGAAAATGCTGGTCACATGCCTGGCCCCTAGTGCCCTGTGTGTCCTTTGTTGTCAGGACCAGCTCCTGCAGCCCTGTGCATCCTGGGCCACTTCTCTTCTCTACGTTACCTGCCTCCTTGGAGACAAAGGATGTTGTCTCTGTGCTCTGCAGTGCCCCTGGCGGCATGGGTTTCCTTTGGGCCGCTGTCCTGTTTCCAAAGAGCCTTCCTCCTGTCTTCTTTCTTCAGAGAGGCAGCAAGCATGAAGGCCTGGAAGCTTTGAAAGGTGCTGTAAGCATCTTAGGAGCTCTTTTTGGCCTCCAGGAGACTGATCAGTTCACAGAAGTTGGAAAGAAAAATTAAAATGAAAGCAAAAACTTGCGAGAAAATATGTGGATTTACCAATCTCAAATGAAGCAGATGTTAGTCTTTTTTACAGTGGTAGGTTCATTAAAAGAACATTCTTTTTAAGTGATTTCACGTGATTCTTTTTGATTCCTTTTAGATATTTGTTTTCTTCTTTTACTTTGAAGTTGGAAAGATCTGAGTTCAAATCCTACTTCCCCCAGAGTCCCTCCCAGCTTCCAAACTGGAAACTTCTCTCATGAGTCCTCCAGCTTACCCGCTCAAAAACCACCATGTCTGGGCCAGCCCGGTGGTGCAGCGATTAAGTGCGCACGTTCCACTTGGGCAGCCCAGGGTTCGCTGGTTCAGATCCTGGGTGCAGACATGGCATTGCTTGTCAAGCCATGCTGTGGTAAGGCGTCTCACATATAAAGTAGAGGAAGATGGACATGGATGTTAGCTCAGGGCCAGTCTTCCTCAGCAAAAAGAGCAGGATTGGCAGCAGATGTTAGCTCAGGGCTAATCTTCCTCAAAAAAAAAAAAAAAACCACAAAAAACCACCATGTCTGCAGCTGTAGAACAGAGGTGACAATGACAATATCTACCTGTGAGGATTTTATCAAATCTTCAGATTTTACAAACTCTCAGCAGAGTTGGGAATGTTCTGGGTAGTTGTGATTACACCAGGTCCAGCTTGCTTACCTCTTAGCAACAAAGATGAAACATTCCCCCGTGGTTTGAAACTCAGTGTCCCTGCGGGTAACATGGAATCCACAAAGAGGCCAGGCCAGCAAATGGAATGAATTTGGGCCCTCTGATAGAGGGGCCTCCGTTCCTTAGCAGACAGATTGAGGAGTGACAGCATGCATCAGTCTTGGAAAAACTGTGTGGAGACTGAGCCACAGGAAAATAAAACAGGATATGTATCATATTAAATATTGCACATGTTTAATGTACATAGCTATTACTGTGTGTGGATGTATATGTGACATTTATTGAATATTCACTGTGCGCCTGGCACTGTGCTAAACTCATGGCGTGCATGAGCTCATTTAAGTCTCTCAACAATCCTATGAGGTGTGCATGACTCCTATCCCATTGTGCAGATGAAGAAACTGACTGGGAAGGCACACTGTTTGTATATGAGGCAGGCAGGACTCA